GGGGGGGGGGATGGGGGGTGTGTGACTTACGACATCGCGCGTACCGATCCGAGAGGATAAGAAACACGTCGCGACGGATAAAAAAAACCACGGCATTTCCTATCAATTAAGCGAAGGAAGACCCGCGCTGGTTTTTCGACCCCTCCCCCCATCTTCACCACCTCCCTTTTCCACCAGACCGTTCTCCTACCGCGAAGCAGGGCTGCTGTGGTGACCAGGGTCCCATCAATTACCCAGCCAACCCTCAATCCAAATGAGGGCAAGAGCGAGCACAGACGAGGAGGGGGAAAAAACGAAGGAAAGTTGATAGCAAAAATGGAACGGGTTCAGCGCCGCGGATGAGAGAAAAGTTTCGTTAAAAGGACGGGAAATTGGACGCGAAACCTCATTTCGGGGAGGAGACGGGCGGGACGGGCGATCAGGGGATGAGCGGTGCCCGCGATCGAGATCAGATTCATTTCCTTTCGAAACCTTTTGGCTTAACTTCGTAAAGACAAAATTAATTCACAAAAAAGGGGGAAAGTAGAGATGGTGGGGGGTGGGAGAAAAAAGAAGGTTCAAAGGCATAAAAATAATTTACAATGAGGAAGAAAAAATTGTCCACCTTGAGCGTGAGCGGAGGAGCAAAGTCGAAGTCCACGGCCGTCTCGCCGAGGCCGCCGAGCAGGGGCAGCTTGGAGGAGGACATAATGCCGCCGATGGGCGCGCGGCCCAGGTGCACCACCTGCAGCTGGCGGATCTCAGGGTTGGCAGACGAGTTGTACAACCTATTGCAAATCAAGGGAAATGAATGAGTGACAAAGTTGCGAACACATTACTCCAAGTAACAGGCGCACGCACGGAAAGAGCAGGTGTGTGAATACCCATACGCACACTTGAGAGAGTAGAAAGTGTGAACTCCCCCTTGACATTCACCCACTTGTGCCTCAATGTGTACGCATGGCGTTCACACACCTCCAAGTGTGCGACACATTCACACACTTGGGGTGCTGGGTGCGGGCTTACCTCAGCGAGTTGTCGGACGTGAGGACGAGCAGGTGCGAGTCGGCGGGGGAGCCGGGGTGCCAGCGCACCTGCCTCACCTCCACGGCGGGCGCGGCCAGCACGGTCCTGCACCTGCAGGACAAAACAAAACTCTAGTTAAAGAACGTTCGACGAGTCGCGACTAAAACCTTAAGAAGGAAGAAGCAAACAAAAGCAAAATGGAAGCTCGGGGGTGCCCCTCCCACCACGGCGGCCGGGAGCGCGCCGGGGGGCAGGCCGTCCCGCCACACCCGCGCGCTCGACAGGCCTGCCTACCTCCCAGGCGTCGAGGGGCGCGTCGGGTCGGGGAGGCAGGCAGGCAAGCCGACCGCCGAGATAGATCGCGTCAAATATTTCGCGGCGAGCGCCGGCACCCCCGGCCGGCTGCGCGGACAGTTCACAAACCGGGCGCCCCTTTCCGCCCTTCCGCCGCCAGAGCGCAGTATTTCCGATTCCAAACGCTTTGTGTCACCTCCGCAGCACCGCACCGCACCGCAGCCAGCTTGGGCGGCACCGAGGGAGACAGGGGCATCGGTCTCCCACTCTCTCACTGAGAAAAATACTTCTGTCCGGGTACTAAACGTACGTCTAATGCTCCCGACTTAGGTCCCAGCTCAAAACGAGATAGTGACCTGCCACCATTGAGTTTTAGTGCTGTGCTCTAAATTTTCTTTGCCTGGGATGCTACGCTTAGCTCCCAGCTCTAGAGTGCTGAGACAGATTTTTTTTTCTCAGTGCGGCCCACGAGGACCAGGGGGGCGTGTACTAAGCGAACGAATTAGTTTGTAACCTGGGAACAATTTGGCACTTGTGCGATACAAAGCTCGGGCCAACACAACAATGGCCGGGTGGGAGAGGTCCTGGACGTCTGTTCGGCGACTGCGCCTTCGGGGCAGGTGACGCGAGATGCGCATGGGGTGCGACCGACACCTCGATTCACGCTTCAACGAGAAGAATAAAAGACTCACACATAACGCTCTTCCTCCCCTCTTACCCTACGACACCGACCGCCGTTGTATGTGACTTTAACTCATCCCCGCCCGCACGCACCACCGGCGCAACCCTCGTTAGGGCCAAAATAAAACACTCTCGTGCCCGCCCATCACCCCGTCCCTCGATCTATTTTTCACGCTTTCTTTAACCTTTCCTCTTTGTCGTCTCTCTCCCACCCACACAGACACACCACGGCCGCCGCCCGCCCTCTTCCTGCCCCGAGCCTTTCCTCTCTCTAAGCCTTTCTGTCCAGAGAGGCCACGCGCGCGCGAGCGAGAGAGCGACAGAGAGGAGAG